TAGAGAACAGCACTCCTCCAGCTGGTGAGGCACAGGATCTAGAGGCAGAAATGGGACTCTCTGGGAAAAGTGCACCTGTAGACGTCGACCCTCCCTCCAAGCAGAAGGAGAGGGCAGCCGCCCTGAAGAGGGACATGCCCAAGGTGCCCCACGACAGTAGCAAGGACAGCATCACCGTCTTTGTCAGCAACCTGCCCTATAGCATGGACGAGCCTGAAGTGAAGCTCCGGCCGCTCTTTGAGGCCTGTGGGGAGGTGACGGAGATCCGCCCCATCTTCAGCAACCGGGGAGATTTCCGAGGCTACTGCTATGTGGAGTTTAAAGAGGAGAAGTCAGCCTTGCAGGCACTGGAGTTGGACCGGAAGACTGTAGAGGGGAGGCCAATGTTTGTCTCCCCCTGTGTGGACAAGAGCAAACATCCCGACTTCAAGGTGGGTCTTTGTAGAAAATGCCTTTCACATCAGGTTACTGTGGACAGATTGAACATTTTGTCTTGCAGCAAGCAACTACCATTTAGAATCTGCGTGGAATATTTGTGGTCTGTGAAGAACTAGATGCAGGGTCTAGTTCTGAGCTGGGTAGGTGAGGCCTGACTCACAGCTTAGTGATACCGAGCTTGCGCTAGTTGACAGATGATGAGAAAATTGGAAATTCTAACGGCGGCTGCTTGCCACTGAATGTTGAGGAGTGGCAATGGCTGTGCGAAGGATTTACTGTGTCACCTTGTCAGATCCTCACCCAAACTCTGAGAGTAGCGGCTTTCATCCCTGCCACGTTCGGAGGCAGAAGTGGGGGATTTGAGAGGTTAAGTGATTTGGCCAGGGTGACCCCATTAATAGTTCATAGCACCCAGAGTCGGCTGTGGTCTCTGGCTAGGGTGAGGCCTGTGGCTGAGTCTGGTACTAGCTACAGTATTGTACGTTGGGTTGGGCCATGGGTGCTTGACTCTCTTTCCCTCCCTTCCTGTAGGTGTTCAGATACAGCACTGCCCTGGAGAAACACAAGCTGTTTGTCTCGGGCCTGCCTTTTTCCTGCACTAAAGAGGAACTAGAAGAGATCTGTAAAGCTCATGGCACCGTGAAGGACATCAGGCTGGTTACCAACCGGGCAGGCAAACCGAAGGTCAGTGTCTGTGCAGACGGTGTCAGCCTCCCGAGGCTCTGGCAAACCTAGTTCTCCATCTGTTCAGATTCTTAGTTTCTGAGTGGGTTCCTTGTTAGCTGAGAAATAAATGAACAGAATAATAGGGACACTTGGCACTACTTGCATTTGGAGTCAGAGTAACCTGTTTCTAGCTAATCATACTAAAAAAATAAGGCATTGAGGGAAAAGAAAACTTACCATGAATTAGTAGGGGCCACAGTGCAGACCCCTGGCTGTGAGGGGCCTTTTTGGTAGTGTGTGCCCTCCTGCCCCGACTCACCTCTTCACTAGGTTTCCAGGTGCCTCCTTCAGTCTCTTCCCCAGAGACCCCACCAGATTTTCCTATTAGCCCCCTTAGTGTCCTGTGAAATCTTTTTGTGCCATGTTCTGAGTAGTTGGCTAGGCACGAGTTTGGATTCCCTGTCTTTCCCCAGCCCTCTGGGTTGATGGAGAGTTGAAGAGCATGAAGTAAGGAGGGACCCACATGAAGGCTCACCCTGTATCCAGCCGCCTCATTCATTGCTTTTGCTGGATTTACTGGTCTGTCTCTCCCTCCCTATATATATATATATATATATATATATATATTTTTTTTTTTTTTTTTTTTTTTTTTTTTTCTGCAGCAAGCACAAGGTACACTGACCTCACAAAGGTTATCTGATGTTTACAGTCTGTTGCAGAAACAGGGAGGAAGAGTGTGACTAATGCATAAATCTGTAGACAAAGGATGGTTGCGGTGGGGAAGGGAACCTGATGACGGGGCAGCTGTCTGTACTGGCTTCTCTGCTGAGGCAGGAAGTTGTGTCCTGGCTCTGTCACACCTGATCTGGCTCTGGAACTTGCATCTTTCAGGGCCTGGCCTATGTGGAGTATGAAAATGAATCTCAGGCGTCACAGGCTGTACTAAAGATGGACGGCATGACTATCAAAGAGAATGTCATCAAAGTGGCCATCAGCAATCCTCCTCAGAGGAAGGTTCCAGAGAAGCCAGAGGCAAAGAAAGCTCCAGGTGGCGGCATGGTGCCACGACAGATTTATGGAGCGTAAGTGTTTGCATGCACAAACTCTGCCCTGGCCAGCACTGCAGGGGATTCGTTTCCTGCTAATACAGCAAGTTGGGGCAGAAAGCCAGGGCCTGCTGTTCCTGGGGATGCTCACGGTGGTTTACCAGAGCAGGGTGTCTGGAGCAGGGCCATGCAGAGTAAAAGCCCGGAAGTGGAACCCTTCCTGGTATTTGCCAGTTTACACTTGGGATTTATTTGAGATCATTTGGTTTCTAGGCAGTGATTTTTTTTTTTTTTTTTTTTTTTTTTTTAATTTATGATAGTTACACACACAGAGAGAGAGAGAGAGGCAGAGGGAGAAGCAGGCTCCATGCACCGGGAGCCCGACGTGGGATTCGATCCTGGGTCTCCAGGATCGTGCCCTGGGCCAAAGGCAGGCGCCAAACCGCTGCGCCATCCAGGGATCCCTAGGCAGTGATTATTTTTAAAGTCTCCTTTGGCAGTAGAATCCATCATGTAGATTCTTATTGCTCTGGCTGTAATCCGATAAGAGGTAGCTTTCATCTGGTGGGAAGGAGACCACAAAGTTGTGAGGTTATTTGGTGAGGTCTGAAAGAAGGTAGCATTTTTATCCACTCTGCATGTAACTATTACACAGGGTTGGTCTTTGCCAAAATTGTTTAGGCAGTTTGTTTAAACTGGTTTTTGCATATTAGTCAAAGTCACGGAGAACAGGGATCATCTCTCCTTTCTGGTTTTTACTCTTTACCTATTAACTTGGTACTCTGCACATTCCAAGAAACTTCTGTAGTAACTAACATAGAAATGAATTCAGAAAGTATGGTTTTCACCTTGTAACTTTGGGTAATTGAAGACCATCCTGGCTTATTTGCATGAAAAAATCAGGGGCCATGGATTGTTGCTTTGTAAGGGTACATCCAGTGTTTGCTCTTCTAGGCGGGGGAAGGGGAGAACCCAGCTCTGCCTGCTGCCTCGTGCCCTGCAGCGCCCGAGCACGACAGCTGCTCAGGCTGAGAATGGCCCTGCCCCACAGCCGGCGGTCACCACTTCAGCCACCGAGGCACCCAAGATGTCCAATGCCGACTTCGCCAAGTTGCTTCTGAGAAAGTGAAATGGGACTCTGGAGAAGGGAAATGCCTTACTTCATGCTGTCCAGGAAGAGCACCCGGCACCCAGCTGTACTCTGGGTATGGAAGGGCCTAGGACAGCACCCCTCCTGCATATTTTCCTCTGGGTCAGACAGAAAAGGGATGAGGGTGTCCAAGGAAAGAGGCTTGAAGTGCTCCCTCATATTGAGGGCAGTAGGAGGAAAATTGATCACTCCGTGGGTTGGGCCCAGCGTGTAGTTTCTTAAGATATTTTTGTGTCTTATAGAGTGAGAAACAGAAGTGAAACTCAAACCCGTTTTGAGACCCACTTGTCCAGGTGTTTTTGGCCATCTCTGGCCCTCTTTTTATAAGACACTTCTCTTACAGCCTGCACAGCACGTGGGCCCATCACTCTTTTAATTTTAAAAGACAAAATGGCAAATGCTAGTAATTCACCAGAATGGCCTATTTTAGTAAAGGGGTGGTGGGAATAGGGAAGTCACATAAAAAAAAAATGTGATGGATTTCTGTTCAAGGGAGGGGGTGCTGTGCGTTTTTATATTATGTATTTGTAAAAGACACATCAACCCATTGTTTTATGTTTCCTAAAAGCAAAATATTTGTGACCTTTTTTTTCTATGGGAGTTCTGTGTGCCACCTGCTGTGGACCATTTTCTTTGCCTAGTGATGAGTGAACTGTGTTCTTTGTCTAAATACTGAGTTTCAGCCCTTTGGTTTTGTTTAAATATCATGTCAAGTGCAAACTTAAATTCCCCTCACTTAGCTTTGTTTATTAAACTGAAGTTCTCTTAACGTCTTGCCGAATGGTACTCAGATGTGCATTGAGACACGGCTGTACTTTGAGATGGGTGCACTTGCGTTACTGAACGTGTAAATAGAACTTTTGTAAGTCAACTCCTCTTGTTCCTCTGATTTAAGTCATTTCAGTTGTGATGGGTCCTCAGTTTTAAACTTCACTTTGCTGCATTTTGGCCCGTTCGCTTCTAAGCTTTTTTTTTTTTTTTAATCTTTCATCTCTTATCAAATATTTATTGCTTTAAAAGCTACCTTGCCAGTTCAGTAGGGAGACGGATTTTTTCATAAAGACACTGAGAGAAGAAATCAGGAAATGCTTTCATGCGTGGGAGAAATCAGCCCACTTTATCTGGTTAAGTTTTTGTGCATCAGGCTTTACTGCATTTTTTTTTTTTTTTAATTTATGATAGTCACAGAGAGAGAGAGAGAGAGAGGCAGAGACACAGGCAGAAGGAGAAGCAGGCTCCATGCACCGGGAGCCCGACATGGGATTCGATCCCGGGTCTCCAGGATCGCGCCCTGGGCCAAAGGCAGGCGCCAAACCGCTGCACCACCCAGGGATCCCTTTACTGCATTTTTAATGGGAAATTGGAAGCGTCATCCAGAAGTGTTGACAGAAGAGCAAAAGGAACTCCTTACACGGCTGTTCTTGAGCTTCAGCAAGCATTCCCATCTAGTGCAGGATTCCTCATCTTTGCCACACACACCCCACTCGGCCCCCAGCCCCAGTAACTGCAGCGCATGCCTCCAGGAGATCAGGCCCTGAGGGCCACGGTTTTTTCATTACTCCTAGAAACATTAGCAGTAATGCTTTTGTGTCCTCAACTGCCCAAATTCCCTGTTTCCTGAGGTTTTTTTTTTTTTTTTTCTTAATATTTTATTTATTCTGGGGGCGGGTGCGGGGCGGGGGGGGGGGGAGAGGCAGAGACACAGTCAGAGGGAGAAGCAGGCTCCACGCAGTGAACCCAACGTGGGACTCGATCCCTGGTCTCCAGGATCAGGCCCTGGGCTGAAGGGGACGCTAAACCGCTGAGCCACCAGGGTTGCCCTCCTGATGTTTTTTAAGTGCATCCCCCCACCCCCTAGGAAGTTAGGATTGGTTAATAAACCTCTGAAGTCTCTGAAAGTCCCTCTCTACCGTGTCTTTCTCTTTTGCACAAAACATTTTTGGTTAGGTGTTACTTGTGAATTAAATTCAAATAGTGGCCAGGAGAACGTATGCTGTAACGCTGGTCCCTCCTGTGTTCTTTGGAATGGGCACTCACCCCACCCCTGTCACCCATCCATGGAAGCGACTGGGGATGTGCAGGGACTGCCACCGAGGAGCCCTGAGCATCTCCTGACCAGTCCAGGCTGACGTGGCTTCACTCCTGTTGCTGCATATCTCACCATTCTCTCTTGCTGTTGGCCAGTCTTCTGGCCTCACTTTGTGCTTTCCCATGTAAACACGGAATTGGAGCTGCTCAGACTTGAGCTCAGGGTATTGATGGTCCTAGAAACGGAGTGTCAGGAACATGTGAGTGGGTTTATGTGTTTTCCCCAGGAAATCAAGAACTGATGGTAAACAGAAGCATGAAACACCATTTGAGTTACTGGCGTGTTAGTGGAAAACCAGTACATCACCCCTGCCAGTGCAGGTAGGTAGCTGACCCACATAGTTCCGTATCACCTTCTTGTTGAAATTACTATCTTGCATCTATTTTTCTGCCATTATACAAACAGGGCTTAAAAGTTCTGAAAGAATTCCTCCTCCATCTTTATGACAGATGGGAACATCTCTTGAATAAGACGGCAGGTCTCAGGCCTTTATTAATAAAATACTTTATTAGAGTCAGTAATCTGTTAAAATAACATCCTTCACAATAAAGCTAAAGTGCACATTTCTCTATAGAGTACAAACTACGCACTTCTGGTCAGGCTTCCTTGGTGTGCTGCTAAGACCAAGACGCCAGAAGAGTTCAGGTTGAAGAGATACCTTATGGCAGCATACAAGTATGAAAATATTTTTTTTATAAAGGTTTGAATAATCCTCACTTGGGGCCACTTCACACATCTTTTTCTCAATCTTTCAGAAAGCGACTCTGTGCCTATCCTACAAGTAAGTTATAAGCACCTGCTACCTCAGAACAGTGACCTCTTTACTGTCAAGCTGTGACTTCCAAGTCAGAGACCACACTTTGTGTTCACCATCATTCCGACCCTGACAAAGTGCACGACAGCGTTAGATGTCCCAGGCTCTGTCACTGGGAGAGGAACCTGTGCCCCTTTGGACTCTGAGTAGCATAGCAGCAGTCATATCGGCACCTGTGCCAATATATTAACGGTACAGGAATTATTCTTCCATAGAACGAAGACTTAGAAACTTGGCTGTATTACATAGAATGTTTTATCATTCTACAAGTTGCTAGAAAAATAAGGCTATTCTAGGCAATCTCTTCTGCTTCCCCGATGGGATGCTGGACAGTACCATGGCTGTGGGAGGTGGGGGTCAAATCAGAAAGTGGATAAAACTGCATGACAAAAGGGACGCATCCTGTCTGTTTTTAAAGGTTTTTCTTAGTTTGGTAGAAACTTCATCTAATTATTAAAAATTCTTATTTGGTGTCGATGTGGCAACTGTTTTTACAGATGTGTTCTTGAATATCTACCGACACAAGATGTTCAACTCAAGAGTGAGGGCCGACTTGGCCACTCGCACAGTACCTGATCTGCAGTAGGATTCAGTTGACAAACCCAGAGAATCTGCAGACTAAAACATCTGGTCTGAGCTGCTGCAAACGAAGTGTGAGAAACATTGCATACACAGAGAAAACCAAGCTGGCCACTCCCCTATTCTTAATTAGAAAAATAGTCTTGATAAGGGAAAAATAACAGCCTCTGGTACTAGGGTGTGCAAGCTATGACTCCAGGACTTACTTGAAACAAGCAAGGTATCTAACTAGAAATGTTGTCAACATTTTTATTTCACCTCTCAGAAGTTTGCTCTACTAATGAGAATTAGTCACAATGCTAATCTCTTTGTAGGAGAGCAAAACTCTCTAAGAAAGCAAGCTTTCAGTCATTTCTCAAAACTGGAACCAGGTTCTCCCCAAGAGTGCTGACCTCTCAGGTCAAATCACAGAACACTTGGAGGAGTTCCTCCTATGGATTCTGGACCTCCTTCCACACTTCTGGCCTCTCCCCACGTGAGTGCAAATTCTGCTCCAGAACCAGTGTTCTGGTCACACACACAGCACTGATGCCCCCAAAGCCTACCTAGGGCCACCAGCACAGATAGCACGGATACCATACAACATTTACTAGCCCAAAAGGAGAAAATAAATAATAACTTGGGCTGAATTATAAGTTACCTTAGACATAGGGCTTAATAATTTAGGTTTTCTCTTTTTTTAACTAAAACACTTGGAGGTAAAGAATGTTTTAAGTCCTTTTTCTGTCTCCTTTTGCTTTGGGAGGCAGTCCGGTTTCTAGAAGTGCTAAGATTTCCCTTTCTCCGGGACACCCTTGTCACCAAGGGAGGATTTCCAGGGTTATGGCTTTACAGGCAGTGTCTCCTTAAACCCGGAGTGGTTGGGTTTGGCCTCTGGCAGTGCCACCGGGTACTCCGTTGTGGCAAAGAGCAGAGTGTCCAGAGTGGTTTCTGTACACTTGGCGATGAAGCGGATGAATGGCCTCACATCGCCTTCGTTGGCAACTTCCAGTACATGGTAGTACTCAGACCTCTGCTCCTTGCGGATGGTGATGGGCGGGTAGCCCGCCTGCATCAGGATGAGGTTCATCAGCAGGCGTGAGGTCCTTCCATTGCCATCGATGAAAGGGTGAATGTAAACCAGTTTATAATGGGCCAATGCTGCAAACTCCACTGGGTGCAGATTCATGGCATCCTCGGAGTTGAGCCACTGTATGAACTCCTGCATCTGCTTTTCAACATCTTGAGGATGGGGAGGGATGTGGTGTCCCACAAGGACCTGTGTCGTCCGAAACCTGCCAGCTTCCACTGGATCCACATAGCCCAGCACCCGCCTGTGGATCTCTAACACGTCACTGATGGTGACAGACCCGATGCGGGAAACTAGCGTTGTGTTGATGTAAGTCATTGCTGCGTGCATGCCAATGACCTCATTCTGCTCCTCCAGGCTTTTCCCTGGCACGGCATAGCGGGTCTCGAGGATGTGCCTGATTTCTGAGAGGGTGAGGGTGTTGCCCTCGATTGCGACCGTGTGGTAGATGTGATGGTAGTAGGTTTCCTCCATGACCCTGCGCAGCGCAGAGTTGCCCTTGGGGATGGACATGACCTTCTTCACTTTGCTGTCGATGATGCTAAAATACCTCTGGTCGATCTCTTCTACCAATGGCAGTGTCCGGTCCCGGTTGACCAGCGCTTTCTCATGGTAGGGCGAGATGGTCAACGCTCTGGTGTATAAGTAATCTGCCTGGATGATGTCCTTGTCCTCTTCTGAAAAGATGCCGAACTCGTTGAGTGCATCTACAAAGTCTGGGTCCATCTTGAGGGCATGCAGGAAGAGCTTGTGGGCTTTCTCCCGCTTGCCTTGGCGTTTCATTTCCAGAGCCTGGTTCAGAGCTGCTTTGGCTTCCAACTTACCAGCTAGAAAAGAGCCAGAGAAGCATTGACAGAGAGGGTAGGGAGGGCAGAGGATGTTCGGGGAGCCATCCCCTGTGTTGACCCTTCAGGGGGCTCATTTTGGCTACTCTGTTCACGGTACCACTTCACATGTATGGGTGCATTTGTGCCCCACAGCTGGTGATTGTCTGTGTGTCCCCTGGGAGGTATTGCCTAGACTCCCTGGCCCCCTGCCTTCTGAGTACCAAAGTGAGTGGCTGTGGCCGCAGCTCCTGTTGGCTGGCTTTCCTATATTCTCAGCTCTCTCCTGTCCTGGATCAATCCTGGTGATGCTGGTCCCTAGCCCTGTCCCTTTAGGCGTAGGCTGTTAACAGCTGCCCCCCTGGTGCTTAACTCTGGAGGCTTCCCCATTCCCTGGGCTGTTCTTTCAATCTTTTAACCCAGTGGTTCTCAATCAGGGGTGATTTTGCCCCCCAGGGGGAGCTGGTGGTGCCTGAAGATGTGTTGCAGTTGTCACAGTTGAGGGGGGCGGTGCTACTGGCATCCAGTGGGTAGAGCCCAGAGATGCTGCTCAGTATCCTACAATGCACCACAGCGGACAGCGCAGAGGGCAAGAAACTGCTCTAGATCTAGCCCTCCCTCACCAGCCCCTCCACCTGCTGAGAAAAAGGAGCTCAGTGGGCTTTTTTTTCTCAAATGCCCAGGCTCTCTTACCCTCTGTTCTCTGCCTGGTACACTTTCCCCTCATGCCTCTTCCTTTGGGTCATTTTCCTATTTACACTGGGGTCTCAGCTCAGGCCTTCCCTCCAGGGAGCCTGCCTGGTATGCTCCCCTGCTTCCCCATCACCACGCTGGTGACGCTGTATCAGCCAATTGCCATCTTGTCTAGGCTGGGAGCTTAAGGCGGACCTCTTCACCAGACACATGGGACACAGTAGGTAATCTACCCAGTTAAGGATTGAAGGGAGGTGGCAGTCTGCCTTACCTGGAGAGGCCCTGGTCTTGACCACCCGCAGTGCTGCATCCCTGGAGGTGACACTGAGCTCTGTGGACGGGCTGGTGCACTTGGTGACGGCATGCTGCACCCTGTCCAACTTGCTCCTCAGCAGGTAGAAGCCTTTAAGCACGGTCAAACACTGCTCTTCCAGGGTCCCCAGTGGCAGCAGCAGTGCCAGCAGGGACCCCAACACCATGCTCAGCAGTATCACCCATAGGAAGCGACCCCAGACTGACACCCACTTTGGTTCAGTCACTGCCATCACTGAAGCCATCGGCATGAGTGTCATCTGGACTTAGGGGTGGGCCCCCCACACATACTCAGTTGCCAGAGAGCAGGATCTGCAGGGAAACAGGAGTTGTAGATGAAGCAGGGGAAGGGGACACATTCAGGATAGGTTTCTGAGTTCAGCTGGGGCTTGGAGGGCCCCACACCTCTTATTTCACTATGACTCAGGGAGAGGGGGGAGTGGGCAAGGCAGGAAGTGGATATAAATGGGAAGGGGCCATCCTGGAGGACTGGTACCACTTCAAGGCACTGTAACTCTGAAAAGTAATGCCACTGCACTCAACATTTATTGAGCACTTACTGTGTGCCAGGCCCTGTGCTAAGCACTAAAGATCTCACACATACTGTCTCTTGTAATCTTCAACAGGAGCTGATGCTACTGTCCATCCCACTTCTCCAGATGAGGAAACAGGCTCAGAGAGATGAAGCCCTTTGAGTAAGGGACAGCCTTAGGACTTGAATTCAGGAACCCATGGCTCCAAAGTCACCCCCCTTGATCACAGACCTCTGACCACAGGCATATCCAGACTGGCCAAGGCGGTTCTGAGGTCTGTTCTTTGACACACACAACTGTTTGGTGGCCTGATTTGCTGCCACATGGGTGCCCGCCTCTTTGTGCCCACACCCTGGTATTAGCCACAGTGCTGCTACCCTTCCAGCCTTCCCTTCCTACCTGTGCGGCAAGGATCTCCCCTAGAGCCTGGGCAGTCCAAGCATCTCAAGAGGAACGTAAACTGTGGGCCAGGGTAGATGACCACTCACCCTCCACTTGGCAGTGGGCATGTGCTTCAGGCTGGCAGCGGGAATGGAGGGGTCTGGTGTACAAGTACCATTATGCTAACAATAAGCATTTATTAAGCAACTATGGTGTACTGAGCACTAGGCTGAGTGCTAGCCATGCACTTATCTCAATCCCTAACACCCTATGAAGGAAAGCTACCCCCAGCTTCATTTTACAGGCAAGGGAAACTGAAGCAGAGAGAGTAAGTCAAACTCCAGAAGGCTATGCGAGTAAATAGAAGCATCAAGAGTGAATCCCCAGTGCATCTGGGAAGAGTGCCCAGGTCTTGATCTCTACCTTCTTTCCAACCAGGGCCCGTGCTCTGGCCTGCTTCTGGTGCCGGGCCTCCAAGACCCAGACAGGACTGATCAGGCTTCTGATGGTCCAGGGCTTACAGCCTAAGGGGGAGCCTGGCTCCTTGATACACCTGCAACGGCTTGGCCTGGGCTCTCACCGGGGCACGCTGGGCGTGCTGTGGGGGTTCACGGCCTCGTCTCGGTGCTCGGGGCGGCTCCCTGAGAGACGGAATCCGCGGCAGGGCTGGAGCTCGCCAGGGACCCGGGTCTGCGCGGGGCAGGCAAGAGATGCGAACGTCTCACCCCCACTGCCCTAGGAAGGGGGAAACTGAGGCCCGCGGGGCGAAGCGGCTGGACGGAGGTGCCCCTGGATCCCGCCCAGGGCTCCCCTCCCCGCCGCCCCCTGCCCAGCTCGCTCCTTCCGAGGCGCCCGGGCTCGCCCCCTCCTACCGCGCGCTGCGGCCCGACCCCGCCGCGGCTTCCCGGCGCTCCGAGGCTCCGCAGCCGCCGGCTCCCAGGCCCCGCTCGCCGCCGGCCCTCTGGCCCCGCCCCCGCCAACTCGCCATTGGCCGGCCGGCCAGCCTCGTCGCGGCGGATTGGCTTCCCCGACTCGTCCGCCCCTCGCACTTCCGGGTTCTAGCGTCTGGGTCGGCCGCCGCGGGAAAGGCGCGCCGTGGGTCACCCCCATTGGCTGGCTCCTGCGTTGGCCTCGTGCCGGCGGCAGCCAATAGGCAGCCGGGGGGCGGGGCCGGGGCCGCAGGCGGGAGCGCGGGCGCGGTTGCGGGGAGGGCGCCGTCCGCCTGCCTCGGAGCGCCGCCTCCTGCTCCGCGTCCCGGGCCGCTGCCTGGGCCTGCGTTTCCGTAGCTGTAAAATGAGGATGCTCCCCGCCCTGTTAGTCTGACTTCAGAGCACCTGCCCCTAGCCTCGACCCCGGGGTACCAGGGTAGCCAGCTGCCCCCTTTCTCACCTCCCTTTACCTTTTCCTCTTTTCAATTTGCATCCACTCGAGGAGGAACTGGCAGGTTTATTTAGCTTCCCAGAGAGATTGGGATCTTTGCCTTGAAGCAGAGAGCTGAAGCCTCCGTCTTTGTTCACAGATACTGAAAATCAACATCCATGGGCGCCTGGGGGCTGAGCTGGTTAAGCATCTGCCTTTGGCTCAGGTCATGATCTCGGGGTCCTGGAATCGAGTTCCGCGTAGGGCTCCTCGCTCAGTGCGGTGCCTGCTTCTCCCTCTCTGCCCCTCTCCCTGCTTGTGCTCCCTTTCTCTCTCTCAAATAAGTAAAATCTTAGGTGGTGCGGCGGGGAGCACCTGGGTGGCTCAGTCGGTTAAGCATCTGCCTTTGGCTCAGGTCGTGATCCCCAGGCCCTGGGATCGAGGCCCGCATTGGGTTCCCTGCAGGGAGCCTGCTTCTCCCTTGCCTGTGTCTCTGCCTCTCTCTGTGTCTCTCTCAAGAATAAATAAATAAAAATCTTAAAAAAAAATTAACATCCAGGACGTGCCCAGAAATGCTAAGCATCAAGATCTTAGCCATATAGATTCTGGAGGCAGAGAGACGCCGGCTTCAATTCAGTCTTTGGTCATCTAAGCTGTGACCTTGGGCAAGTTACTCCAAGTCTCAGATTTTCCATTTGTAAAATGAGGACAAAGAGCCTACCATGCCTTTGGCCTCAAGTTCAGGATCCACTGAGGCCTGACTCTTCAAGATCTGACCTTCTCCGTGACACACATTCCCCCTGGGAGCCACTGTCAGGCAGAGGTTGTGGGTGTCACCATTGGAGCCACATAGCCCTGGGTTCCAGTACCAGCTCTGCCACTTGCAAACTGAGTTACATTTAGCAAGTGACTTGATCTCACTGGTCCAGTCTGCTTTTCTGTAAAATGGGGACAGTGATGATGATTCCTCCTCATGGCGTTTTCTGTGAGGGTAAAGTGAGATCCCACATGGCTCGCACAAAGCAAACACTTGATAAATATCTGCTGTTGCATTTATTCCTAGACAAGACACAAAGTCATTGCTTTTTGTTATTCCCGGAAGAAACTGTCAGCCCTGGGGGTGGCTCCAATCACTGAGGAGAGACTCCACGTCCTTTCGTAGGTCTTAATCTGCTACCAGTTTAGGCAAGCTGCTGACCCACAGCCAGAAGTGGGCTGTCATAAAAGACACCATGGGGGCCAGGGTGCATTGCAAGGGGACAGGCCAAGCAGCTTTGGCCCTCGCTAGCTGTGCTTCCTGTTTGTCTTGTAACCCTTCCCCATTCCCCCAGCTCCCAGCCCTTGGCATGGAGAATGGCACACAGTAAATGCTCAAGAAATTTTGTTGACTCAAATAAATACCCGAAGCAGGACAAATCATGGTGTTTTTAAGAAACAAAATCAGGATAGTGGTTATTTCTGGGGCTTCTGTTTCTGTCTTTTGAACAAAGGTCTCAAACATTGCTCTCTTGAAGTCCTGTGAGTTTCACTTCTGATGACTCAAGCAGTGATGCTCTAAAAACTTTTCCCAGAGGAGGGCCTGCTATGCAACCAGCTAATTATGAGAGATGGTTAGTGGAGTAGAAAGCCGTGTGGCTCAGGGGTCAGACAGGTATGTGTTCAAATGTAGCTACCTCTTATTAGCTGTCACTTACCCCACTGAACTGGGTATCATGGGGCTTGTGGACTTCTGCCCCTCCCAGGCATAAGGTGATGTCATCATCTGCTTATAAAGGTACCATACAGTGGCACCTGGGTGGCTCAGTTAAGCATCTGCCTTTGGCTCAGGTCATGATCTCAAGATCCTGGGATGGAGCCTCAGTGTCAGGTTCCCTGTTCTCCCTCTGTCCCTCTACCTGCTCCTGCTAGCTCTCTGTCTCTTCCTCTCAAATAAATAAATAGAATCTTTTTAAAAATTAAAAAAACAATAAAGGCACTTTCCACATTCTGAGATGCCAGTGTCACCTCTTCAATGAGCTTAGAACCATGGGTAGCAAATCCAGAAGCTACATCAGAACCATCGACTGACGAGTAAAATTGCCTGGTTATGAGACAACAGGGGTTGGTGGGAAGTGTGGAGAAGGTGAGAGTACCTGCCTTATCCAAAATGGGCAGCAGCTTCTCAGCTCTAGCCTACATTTAGTTTGTAAAAAATGTATTGCATCCAGGGGAACCTGGGTGAGTGTCTGCCTTTGGCTCAGGTCATGATCCTGGGGTCCTGGGATCAAGTCCCACATCAGGCTCCCCACGGGGAGCCTACTTCTCCCTCTGCCTATGTCTCTGCCTCGCTGTTTGTCTCTCATGAATAAATAAAAAAAATATTTTTAAAAAATGTATTATACCCACAAGTTGACAGATTCTCTAATTTTTCAAAAGAAACGTCAGGCCTAGATTTTTAAGCAAATTCTCCAGATTTTTAAAGAGTTGGCATATCTGCCCACTGGCTACGGAGGACTGCCAGACAGTAAGCCCTGTTTTAGACCTGTAAAATGGGCGGGGGAGGTGGCTGGGAACCCAGGAAGGAACATCACAAATGCTATGCTCCTCGGCAGATGAGCGCACCACTGCCTGTGGCCACCAGGGGCCAGTGATTCACCAGACATCACTTCTCCCATTCACTCTCTTCCATCACAGTTTTCTTGACTGTGTTCAGCTGCGTTGAATGCACAAAATATGGTCCCTGAAGCGATATTGAAAAGTTGGCTTGCTCCACCTTAAGCATTCCGTATTGGGTGGGAATAGCCTCCTCGCGGCCCACGGAGGAGTTCTCTAAAAGCTTATCCTGACAGGGGGATCCCTGGGTGGCGCAGCGGTTTGGCGCCTGCCTTTGGCCCAGGGCGCGATCCTGGAGACCCGGGATCGAGTCCCACGTCGGGCTCCCGGTGCATGGAGCCTGCTTCTCCCTCTGCCTGTGCCTCTGCCTTTCTCTCTCTCTGTGACTATCATAAATAAATAAATAAATAAATAAATAAATAAATAAAAATAAAGGATAGTCATTTGGTATGCATTATAAAAAAAAAAAAAAAGCTTATCCTGACACTTGACAAAGATCCTGCAAAGTGGCTGCTTGGGAAATGTGTCTATTATGCAAAACAAAACAAAACAAACCTTTATGCATCTTTAAGAAACAGCAGTCAAGCGCTTCTTGCTGGCAGAGTCGGATTCTATTGCTTAGGAAACACAAAACTCCCCAACTGAAGGCTATATTGCGTTGAAATGGCTCCAGAATGACTCAACTTCATTTCAAAGAAAGTGTACCATACAGGTCCCCTTGCCCCTTTCCCTAGCCTCCTTGGATTTTTCCCCCTCTCCTTCTGATTTAGAGCTGAAGAGGCCCCCCAGCAGCCCTTCTCCCAGACTCCTGACATCATCAGTTTGCGTACCCAGTGGGGTCGGGCCCAGTGCCTGAGGCATCCCCAAGGGACAGGGTTTGAGGGAATACCTGCTCTAGACCAATAAAGTCCTCCAACCCAATGTCCTTGGCCCTTGGCTCATGCTCTGGATTCGGGATGATCTCAGACATGCAAATAGCGTTGTTTTCAGAGCAAATCACTTGGGGGAAGTGACATTTCTTTCTTCCAAAAATTTAAACCTTACTCCTTCATTTCTTGTTAAACAGCCAAAATAACCAATTATTTTATTTCATTATTTTTTAAGTTGAAGTATGGTTGGCATGCAATATTATATTAGTTTTGGGTGTACGACATAGTGATTTGACGACGAGGGCTCCATGCTCGCCAGGAGGAGTGCAGTTATTGTCTGCCACCTTACAGTGTTATTACCACGGCTTTATTTCCTAAAAGCAAAATGAAATCACAGATATAATAGAAGGCACAAATAAACGGTAAGAAAACAAATTCCCATGCATGATTGTATTAGATATTTTTTAATGCACATCTATTATTAACTTATGAAATATTTCAGACATCCAGAAGGCATAGATAATAAAAAGGGTACCTGTGTTCCTGCTCCCCGCCCCCACTTTAAGAAATATCATATTGGGGTGCCCGGGTGGTGCAGCTGGTTGAGTGTTCAGCTCTTGATTTCAGCTCAGGTCATGATCTTGGGGTCCTGGGATGGAGCTCCACGCTTAGTGTGGAGTCTGCTTGAGATTCTCTCTCCCTCTCCCTTTGCCCCTCCCGCTCATACTCTTCTCTTTCTGTGTCTCTAAAAACAAACAAACAAACAAGCAAACAAACATCTTTTAAAAAAGGCACATATTATCAATGCCCTGAAGCCCTGGGCATCCTCTCCCCTGTCACTTTCCCTTCCTTCCCTCCCAGAGATAATCACCATCTTGAATTTCTTACTTATTACATCCATACATGGGCTCTTGTTTTTACCCATATGTATATATAGTACTAAATGATATATAGTGATGTTTTGCATGCTTTAACATGTTATATGTACACTGTATATCCTGCATTTTTTTTGGGGGGGTGGCATTATATTTAGAGATTTATATTCATGTCGATACAGTTAGTTCTGGTTCATTACTTGTACACCGCTGTGTTGTATTCCACTATGATTTATTTCCCAGCTATCTATT